TTCCCCATTTTTTTTTTTTAATTTAACACATTAAATCAAAATATATATAAAATAATCCTGGGTCCACTGGATTCCATAATCTTTTTGGAATGGCAGTAATTGTATTAAGGTATATATTTTCATTATGTGACACTTTCTTTTCTAAAAAGATTATCTTAAAATATTAAATATTTCATGTATCAATGAATAATTTCTGTATACTTTAGACAGCCAACTTAGAATATTTTCATCTTTAGAAAATACTAAGTATTGGAGTTTATTGTTATTCTTGTTAATGGAGTGTATCAAATGACAAGTTTTTTTGGGCAGAATATTATCTTCAGTGGAAGTTGAAGAGTTCATTGGTATAGGAAAAAAAGAATTGTGCAGTAAGATTACCTATTGGGTTGTCGCTGCTTAAATTTACGTTGATTTTGCTAGCACCTGCTTAATAATAAGCCTGGCATGATAAGTGACTAGAAAAAATAGTTATATGCTTTGTTACATTTACAGTTTTAGTATTTGCAAGAAGGATTTTTTTTTTTTACACTGAGTTGATAATATTTGTGTATTGGGCCGTATGTGTAATATTTTTAAAAAGACACTGCAGAGGTAGACTGTTCCACTGAACCCTTTATATAAAAATATCTCTAAAAGACTTTTGCCAGGCTATAGCATTTGTAGTCTTTATGCTTTTGAGAAGCTTTTGTATGACTTCACTATTGACTTAGAGTTGTCACATCTTAGTATCCTGGATCAAAAGTTATGGAAGATTGGTATTTATATGCTTTGGAGAGGAATTTGAGATGTTACCATGTTTTGCCATCAGTTTTCCAGTATGAACGGGTGCATCAATTAATCATAGGAAATGCAAAAATAAATAATCAGTCCCATTGGATTTTTTTATATGAATACTTACCTTTTCCTTTTTTTGTATATACAGTTGAGGTATTTAGGTAACCCCTAACCTTTTGCTTCAACAAAGAAGTACAGTATAAAAATATCACCACAGTTTTCATGTGAGCAGCTCTTGAGAGGGGAAAAAAACCCTCGAGATGAATATTGGTTGGAAAAAAAAAAAGTTGTGATACAGAATGTCTCAACTCAGCCCCAGTACAGTACTTGAGGACCACCAGTGTATAAAATTGAAAGCACATGAGTTTTGAAGCACTAGAAAAGGTTTGTAATTGATTAGCACTGCTTGAAAGTATTGAAGTACAGTGAGTTTTGATTTGTGAATGGTTCTATTCAATAAAGATTAATTCTGTGTGTTTGATAAAATCTTAGTGCCCTCAATGAGTTAGCTTTTCCCCCCTCTGCAGTTTATTTAACCATCAAATATTTCAGTGTTCTTTTAACAAACTGGAACATTTCTATCTTACTGAATTTAGCTTAGCATGACTGATTTAAACAAGTGAAACTATCAGTGATTAGGTTGAAGGGTGTAATTGAATAGATTAATTTTTGTTCTTTTAAAAGAGCTAAAATATATCTTAATGTAATCATGTATATTTCACGCCCTCCTTGTGATTTAAAGACTTTCATGCCTTTCTTGTGATACAGAGACTATCAGGAGATTCACACAGACTTAACAAGATTTTGTCCCCTATGATTTATTTCAGATCTTTTACATTATAAAATATTTTTAAATTTAAAAGTAAAATCTTTAACAATTTTTCTTATAAAATCAGGATTATTATAAGTTAAAATATTTATAATACAAGTTTTTGGGAATTGCGTTGACATTTCTAGCTTTTAATATATGTTAGAGTGGCCTTCTTATTATATTCTTGGCTTTTTAATTCTTCTCCCTGGATTTTGGAATCTGGCACTCTTATTTTAGAAGCAAGTTAGGACACTTTGTCACTATTAAATCTTGACATTATGAAGTTATTAATATGGACCACAACTGTTGTTTTGGAAATCAGTGTTCACACATCATTTTCAATCAGTTACTATGGTCAGTTACAAAGATTTTATGTAGAAATTTAATTAGTTACATGATACCATTTCATAAGTAAGTTCTTAATTGTAGAACTAATGAGTCACATTTATCATTTTCTGTAGGTTTTGTTTTTGATAAGTACCAGATTTTGAGTAGCGCAGATTTTGAAAATTCTTGATTAATTCAAGGTAAATGGTATTCTGGAGGAGCAAGGACACAGATTCTGTCTCTTCTCTCTCTCTCACATGCACACACACACACACCCACCCACCCACCCACCACACTTCATTAGGTTTGAGGAGAGGCAATCAGTCAACGTATGCTTTGTCCCTCACCTAGCAAAAGCCTAAACTTTCTTGTTAACTGTTTCACAAAATTGGGGCACATGCTTTTGACATTTCATTGGTGATGGTTATCATTATCATATAAAAATTTAAAACCTGAAGTGAAGTTTTAGACTTCAAATAGGTTATAGAATGGGAAAATGTTTGCAATGTGATGATAACCTATATAGTATGTCCCTTGCCCACCTGTAATTAGTTTGGTGTAGGGGGTTCATGTTAAGTTTTCTCTCCAGGCTCTAAGGCGCTGTGGTGTCAGGAGGGGGAGTGAAATCCACTTTTCAGAAGAAAGATTCCTTACAATGTTTAGTCAAAAATATGGCATGGAATTGAAGATGATCTTTATCTACTTAGTTCACTATTATGCCTTGTTTAGAAGCTTGGTCAAATTTCAGAAATCTTAATGTAAAAATGGTTAGTAAGAATGTCAGGGAAATACAAGACCTGATAGAAAATGTAAGAACATTTTAATGTATTCTTTCTGTCAGTATTAATAGCTTTTCTTCTAGTGCTGAAGTATTCCCTGGAACTTGTGGTGCTGTCAATGTAGTTAGAAAAGTATGTATTTATTTTTTCGTTTTCTTTTTAACAGTAATATTGTTAAAAAGTAACTGCTTGATATGCCTGTTTCAAGTTATCTCTATATAATAAAAATTTTGACCATTTTTTTTTCTCTCATCTCTTGGGTAGTAAGAGCAAAAATTCCCATGCATAATCTATAATTATAATATGGGGTACAGTACAGTCTAGTTGTATTTATGTTCTGTTAATACAAAAGTTTTTAGATTAATGATTAAAACCCACCATTACGTTTAAAAAATAATTTGTGATTATTGTATGCATTATAACTGAGGGGGTCCACTTACAGCTATTGAGGGAGTCACTACAGTAATTTTACATTTTTTGTAATATACAAAGTATACTTCCTCACTGTTTAAGAGAAACTCTTTTTCCCCTTCAGATTTAATTATTTCTCTTTGACCTAAACTAAGACTGATCCTCAAGTAGTAGCCAGTTAAAATGTGTGTGAGGTAGGAGGAGTAAAGGAAACTCCAATCATTAGTTGTAAGTTACAAAGCAATGTTAATATAGGTATACACAGCAAAGGGATTTATTTTAAAGGATATAAGAAAATTTAAAAAACTTGCCTTATAGTTGCAACATGTTGGACATCATAAAGAAAATCTTGTAAGTGTTTATAGATTTTTACTATAATACCACGGCAGCTGACGAATGTTAGAGTAGTTTACATATCTGTGTCAACACTAACTTGAAATTAAGTATTAAGGGATTATATTATGCATGTTTTCTTTTAAAGTCCAGCTTGATTTAATAGGTATGGCTCTTTTAAATCAAGCAGGGTATCCTTACGGAGCTTTATTTTTCATGAGACTAAACGGTATTCATCTTGGTAGGTCCAAGAATGTGTTTAAAAGAATCTTAGACATTTCAATATTTGTGTTTATAACAAGTTCTACATATGGATAATAGTGTCTAGATGTAAAAATAAAATTATATAGAAAATACAATTGCATGGAATTTTTTAAAGACTTCTGTGAACTTTTTAATATTCTAGGCAACTGTAAAGATCTTTTAAAAATGGTTATTATATACCTGTAATTTTATTTTGGTTGAATATATGCTTCAGTTTTATGAAGTTGTTTAGAAATAGACTTGTGCAGATAACTTACAAAGCAGTTTAAAATAATAAATAGATTTCTTTTAGTTGAGTTGGTTCAAATGTTAACTGTAGGCTTATTTCTGTTTTGCATGGTAGAGCATAATGTTGGGATAATTCTGTGGTCTGTTATTTTGTAAAATTGCTTCCTTTTTGAAGTTTGCTGAAATATTGGGAACCGCTGGAGTCAATAATCTATAACACTTTGATTAATTTAGTGTCTAATTTTATTCCAGTGAACGTTGAAGGGAATATTAAGCTGTTTCTTTTTCCTGTTTTAGCATTCTCATTTCCATAACTCTAGAAAACATTTTGATTAATGCAAAATAATTTATTTTTGTATATTTCAAGTCATTACGCCGAGAATTAGATAAGTGGCAGATGCCAAATGCAAATATATATAGCAATTTCATCTTTCAATATTTTAGTGCAACAATACAGCATTATTATGATCTTTAATATACTGTTATCTTGACGAGCTAGCACTTTATCTAACACACGTAGCTTTATGTTTAACAGGTTCATCTCTTATAGTATTTTAAAATATGATAACACTTACCCCAAAAGAAGTTTTGCTGACATGGTGTCACTGTGCTGAAGAGGCTGTTTGATGCCATAGTCCCTCCTTTTTTTTTCAGATAGAACTTGTACCCTCTGTTGTAAATACTGCTTGCAGCCTTAAACTGAAAATACAAACCATACCCAAATCTTGTTTTAGTTTTACAGTATGCCTGGAGTACATAGACTTTTTCTATTTATTTTTTTCTGTCAAGAAATTATGTCGCTGGTAACATGTGAAAAGCAGGGAAACAAAACAAAAAGAATGAGCAAATATTTGAAGGACCTACTATTACTGCATAGACTGTGGTTTGAGAGCACTCACTGACTCTGTTGGTCTCGGTGGCTGGTAGTGACCTGCGGAGATTAACCATTTAAAAACCAGAGACTTCTTGCTGTCCTCCTGGAGAAAGTTTGCACCGCACTTGTGGTTCTGTGGTTGTTTGTGAGGCGAATGAAGCATTCACACAATCCAAAAAAGCAAAAGCTTTAAAACTCCTTTTTTTGCAAGCACTATTACTGGAGAGACAGAATCATGTGGTTTGTGACCTCACAGTACTCAAAGTAAAGTGGGACTGCCTACCACTGTGGCTTTTCCCCCTTGCTCTTGCTCTCTTTCTCTCTCTCTCTGACAAAAGGCTTGTGGTAAGGCCCTTCCTGGCATCCAGAAGGATATAGCTTTTTAATTTTTGTGACTCATGAGGATTTGGATAGAATACAAATGCTGAAGGAGCCCAAACTCCTGTAAGGTTAAGCATCTGTAGAGCAGAACTCTGTTCTTTCTCCTTCCTACCACCCTACCACCGCCCCCCCTCCTTTTTTTGCCTCCTCCTCTTAGTTTATTATTGTGTCTGTGGAAAAGGGAGCAAAATTTGGCTCAAGTGGCTGTGTGAAATTCTGAACAACAGTGATGATTTACAATAATTTACATCTTTGGATTGTATCACATTCTGGGGTCTGCTTCGTATTTGCTGGGTGGCTGGATTCCTTCTGTTTTTCTTCTTAAACTTGTGAATCTGTAACTCATTGTAAAAAAAGGTTTACCTTTCTTAAGGTCTGGTTGCAAACTGCTTGCTGGGCTGGACTGTAATTGGCTGTCATGAAAGTGTTAGTCTGGAGATACCTTTACAAATATTAACTCATGTCTGTCTAGCTTATGGATTATCAGTATGAGATGGCAGCCTCTCTACAATAAAGATTAAATGTAACATCACGTATACTTTCATATCATGACCAGTTTGAGAGTCTTATGAAAATGAATGGCAAGAATCGTAACATAGTTTATTGAATGAATCTTAGTTTTCTTTATGCTTATAGTATAATTATTATCTTTCAAGGAAATGCATTCATTTTGTAGAATTCTTCAGTTTATTTTGCCATTTGCTTTAACAGAGGCTTTGATAGCAAATCTTACACATATATAAAGTAAAATACTTATATTGTATCTTAGATTGTTCATTGTTAGACTTCATATGCTCAGGATGGAGTGGGTTAAGAGAAGCTGTATTTTTTGTTTATAATAGAAGCTTTGAAATAAATTACAAAATGCTGTGTGTAGTGAGGAATAATGCACACAGACAGAGTATGTTAGTCATCTCGATTTGCTAATTCTGATTCAGAAGAAAATTGGAAACATCTTTGGGAAACTATCTCCTTTTTTGCCCCTTTGGACATGTATGTATAGAACTCATTTTCTTATTAGGATGATTGTATATCATAGGCAGTGAAATTTATATTTATGAATAGGGCTTCCTGTTTTCATCAGTTGGGAGTGAGGGGGTATTTTTCAACAAAAATTGTAAAGCCAAACACACCAATTTTCTAGGCATTTTTTGCCATTTATCCATGCCACTCTGAATTTGCATGTGTTCGGTTGTTAGACTTCTTCCTAGTGTGATAGTAACTAGGAGTGGCGTGAAGTCAGTGACTTGGACGGTGGGCGGAGACAGTGAATTTCAAAACATTTTTTTGGTGTGTACAATGGGATAAGGGGTGGGGAAATACTTAGGAGGGTGTTAGAGCTAAATATCCCTGCATGTGGTGTTCCTAGCACAGTTCACTGTCTGCTGTTGGCTTATATTAGATAACTGGAAAAATATGTCCATAAATTTCTTTACAAAAAATTTTGACTTGTCCAAAGCATGCTGGGAGGACACAGGAATAATTTTAATCTTTTATTCAAATGTCCAGAGCTTTTTCATACGTTTTAATGGTTTATTTTAAGCACTTATTTATCATGCTTATTTTGTGTATAATGAGGTTTTAAATTGAGAAGTAAAAATTTTCATTTAACACACATTCATATAAAAGGGAGAAAATAAATTATTTGGTTATTCTATTTCATAAATAAGGTGCGCTGGTATGATCTATATATCTAATTAATATCTAAAGTAAATAAAAGAAGGGTTTTGTTCATAATAATTTATGGAAGTTTAAACTCTTCACATACAGTAGCATAAACTCTTTTGCACATATAATAGGAGAGTGAGGCAACTGAAAATTTTGGGTAACAGCTGTAGTTTAATAAGTAAATGGTTTTCTTCTTTTAGAATGAGGTTTTTGTTTCTGCATCAGGGTTCTCTGACATTCAGGCAACCCCAACTTTTTGCTGAGTGTTCGCTTCCTTAATTTTTTTGTCTCATGTATACTTTGGTCCATGAAAATTGGAGTAATTTTTAACATCTATGTGCCTTCTAATTACTTGTTCTCTTATTGCAGGTTACCCTCCTGCACATAATCTTTGGGTCAGAATCATCACTCTTAATGCATAAGAGTTTAGTAGATATTGTTTAATAGGTCCTTTCCTTTGTCTTGCATGAGGCCGATCACATTCTGGCAGGAGAAAGCGACATGATGTGCTTTAAAGTTTGCATGTTTATTATCCACACTTAATTTTTTTTCCCTAAATTGAAAATGTATCTTTTTTTGTGGTAAAATTTTTAAAACAACACTGATAACTGGTACACATTTGATAATTGACAGTTTGTTTCATTCGAAATAGCTTATTACATGTGATGAAGAGAGATTGATTCAGAAAAGCCAATGTGCAAGTAAAGCTCTTGATTATAGATTTATATCATGTTTATAATCACAAATGGAAACCACAGGGCTTTTTTTGTTTGTTTGTTTTTTAAGACCTTCAAAACTTCATCCTGCTGGAGATATGTTAATATCTGCTTATGTTTAAGTAAGTAGCAAGTTTAGGTCTACTGTGTAAATTATGTTCTTTAATGTCACGGAAATGAAATATAGCTTTGAACCTGAAGTCAAATTGCAAAAAGTCAAGAAGTTAGTATCTTGCCTCCCCATTACCTTGTATTTAATAAAAATTATCAGAATTGGTTGAACTTTTTAAGATACCAAAATGTTTACACATAATATAACATAAATTGCTTTAAATGCTACATATGTCTTCATTGTTACCATTTGGATTTTTTTTTTGAACTAATGATAATATTTTAATATGCTACTTTATCAATATGGTTCTCATTTCTGTGCTTTTTTTTTTTTTTTAGGATTGTGTTAGAGTTCTGTTTGTCACCAGTCTATTTTAATTGAAAACAATAGGAGCAAGACCCTTGATGTGGGAATTTTATAAACTATAGAAGTCCTAATGTGGCTTAAAGTGTTCTCACTGATTATGAGGTTTTAGCAAAAGACTTTCTTAATTTTTGTTTAAACTTGGTATGTGACAATTTATTTTTTATATTTTTTTATTTGATATCTAGCAGCTCAAACTTACATAGCATTTATTGGGCCTTATATTGATGACTTGTAAATTTTTTATATTAGTAAAATATGTATAGTTTGATTAATATTTTAAATTATGATTATGAGATTAATTGCATTTCCTTATTTTAATGAGGTATATATCTGTGTACACAACTGTATACACACGTGTGTGGTGGTGTTTGTATATGGGGTAATATTTTGTAGTACTTTTTATAATGAGAGCATTTTTTGTTTTTATTTTAGTTTAATTAAATTTTTAAAACCCAAAGCACCACCATTTCCTGGGTTGTTTGAACAACTTGACTTGGTTAATATTAGCAGCTATCTGTATAAATGTGAGATTATGTGGAAATTGGATGCCAAAAGAGAAAATACTAAACTAACTTTCTCTCTCTCCTCTCTCTCCACCTCACTGTACTTCGGCCTTTTCTTTCTTTTTTTTTTTTTGGTTTCTCTTTTCTCTGACATTTTCATAAAGTCTCAAAGTAGATTCTTAAAATTCTAGTGAGGGATATTGACATTAATCGGTCCTAAGGAATACCTGGCAGGTTAGAAGCTCATAACATTCATTGCAAATTATTGTTATATTCTGATATATTATACCTCATTTGTTAGGCATGTGTAGGCATTGTGTTGGCATCTGACTACAGAGATTTTGTTTCTTTTAATTGTTTTCACTTGTTCCTTGAGTCTTTCCTTTATGTTATTTTACATTAGCACATTGTTTCATGTGTCATTAACACTTTAATTATGAGGATTAGTTTTTGTTTCTTTTTTCTCTGACTATACTTTGAAGCACAGAGTGATCCATACTTGTTTAATGTAGCCGTAGAAGTAATTTATGTTTCTTATAATTATTGGAACAATTCATCTTCTAATGCTGTTATTTCCGCAAGTAGAAAAAAAAGGCGAGAACTTGCACAAAATATGGGAAACATGCTCATATGACAGCTGAGGATGTGGCTAGGCTAAAGCAGGAAACTACTACCCACAATGCAATGTTACATACACTACCACTTAATAAAATTTATATCAAACATGCTACTGACAAAACCAAAGAAAAATAATATCCCAACTATGCTAGTTAATGGTACTAAATACATCTAGGGAAAAGTGAAACTAATCTTTTTAGAACTTTTTTACTTACAGAATGTAGTAAATGAAACTGGGACATCATAGTACATTGGAGCTGCACCGAAACTTTGTCTCAGAGTTTGTGCTATGGGACTTGGTTGTAGGGAAAACTGTTTCATAAGGAGAACGTTTTTGGGTATTAACTCCTGGAAAAGGAACAAAAGGGCACCACTCTTTTTCAGTTGCGTTGTTTCGGTATTAAATGGGGTTAGTCATCTAGTAGGAAAAATAAATTAAATTTCGAGGTATTCATTGTGATTATCCAGACTTTTCACATAGCCAGGTGCAGTATTTCTTTACATTTTAAGTTGTCTTTTGTTGCCAGGTTTGGGGGAGAGGAGGCTTGAATTGTCCTCTGAGGCGTATTTCTTTTCAAAGTAATTTATTTTCTTGCTCTTTTTACTTACGTTAACTTACCTATCATTTACCCAGTCAGTTCATGTGCTTTACTGTAGGGAGGTTAGTCTAAAGCAAAAATCTGAACTGCTTTTGTAATGTGGTTGAAAAAGATACTAGGGCATCTTCTAAAAAATCAGGTTTCAATATGTTTAGGCTTTCTATTGATAAATCTTTAATGTACTGTGCTCTTAACTGTCGGACTTCAGTAGTTTTGATGAATTTAGTACCTTAGCAATTTAGATGAATTTATAGTTTTTGAGGTTTAAATAAGGGAACATTATAATAGAGTTTTTGAACTGATAAATAATGCATAGAAATTTTATCAAAGGAAGAAAAGACTGTACACTAGTGTTGCTTATGAAAGATTCCCTCTGCATAGTCCAATATATAAACTATCAATGTTTTATTTCAAAACTGCCATGGTATTTGCCATCTGATGCTTCAACATGAATATCATTGTCTATATCTCTATTAAGGATGATTTGCTTAATTGTTTGAAATATTTTCTCCTTTAGTTAGAGACTGCTTATCAATAACAGCTGTAGCACTGTGGCTTTTCTCCATGGACTCATGGTGGTCTGTGGAACAACGTTCTTCAACTTTGACAGGTGAGACAGAGGCTCTCCAGTGCCACTGCTTTTGGATGAATCTAGCTGTGGTCGGAGAAAGTGCATCTTGCCAAAATATATGGGTGAGACCACACACAGCCTTTAAAATAGTTATTGTAGGCTTATTTTTAGGAAATACATGTCTTGACAGCTCTTTTACTTGCATGCCAGTTTCATTGCTGTGTATAGATTTTTCATTGGTTTCAGTAAAGGCAGTTGCAGATTTAGTTCTCCATTGGTTAAGCCTGTGTATACTTTACACTAGAAAATACTCCGAGTTCAGCCATAATTAACAATATAGAAAATATATTGAAAATGAAGCACTAGAATACTGATCTTTTTGTTTTTATAAATCTGACAGTATTCCTGTTGGAAAGCTCAGTTTCCCAGACAACTTAGCAGTGAAAAATTGGTCCAATTTTAAGTTTAAGATTAAAGAAGTTAGGAAAAAATGTTATAAATGTTCATATACTTTAATTACATTAATATTAAGAAGAAAAATTGCAGTTCTTGTCATTCAGATGTATATTTTTTATGATAGTGGTACAATAAAGCATTGTTCAGAAATTAAGTTTTAAGCTTTAGTAGAAGCTTGTAAGCATCGAAACAAATTACCTAAGAAGTCAGTTCTTACTATATAGGCATAATATGCAAATTATCCAGTCTTTTTATGAGATGATTAAAACTTTATTCAGTTTAGAAAATTATAAAATTAACTATACATTTTAAAAAGAGTATTTTCAGTCTTCTAAAACTGGCTTTTTTAGTGACTGGTAGAGAACACTCTTTAGAATTTTATAAAATGTTAATTGTTTCTTTTTATTAAATGATCTATTTGGATAATTATTTATGATTCTTATTGCGCTATTAGGGAGGACAATGTTAAAGATCTTGAGTTCTGGCAGGTAATTAGTCACAAGACTTTTCCCTTGGTTACTAGTGAATATTGCTTAGCTATATATTTATAATAAATTTTAACCAGTTAACAATATGGTTTCTTTGTAGACAGTTTCATTGTGAAAATAGAATCTACATAGAATTTTAAATCCAATTTTCCCCTTGCTGTTATCGCAATACCCTTCCATTGCTGAATGGTTTTGGCAGGAAAGTACTAGGGAAATTGTGTTTCTATAGCTTTTCCTGAGAACAAATTTATGGAAAGAAGAGAGAACATAGTACACACAAATAGATTGTTTAAAGAAAGATTTGCTTCTTTGCCTCTTAAGAAATTGGCCTTGTATGTGAACCTTCGTGGATGCTAGATTGAAATAAAAAGCTACAAAAGTCATTTTTAGGATATTTGAGGAAACTTGAATATTAACTAGAAATTGATGATACTATGGAATATTTATTAAATTAACCAGTAACCAGTTGCTGTTGATTTTGACTCATGGCAGCTCCATGTGTGTGAGAGTAGAACTGTGCTCTGTAAGGTTTTCAATGGCAGGTGTTTTGGAATGGATCTTTTTGCCTTTCTTCTGAGCCGCCTCTGGGTGGACTCAAACCTTCAACGTTTTGGTTAGCAGTCAAGCATATTAATAGTTTGCACCTCTCAGGGACTTACTTAGGTATAATATTGATATTATGCTTATTTGGGAAAATATCCTTATTCTTAAAGGAGATGCATGGTGAATTATATAGGGATGAAGTGTTCTGAAGCCACAGTTTCAAATAATTTTCAAAAAAAGGAAAAGGTCTGTAGATAAAACAAATATGGCAGAGTGTTAAGAATTGGTGAATCAAGGTGAAGGATGTACAGGTGGCCATTTTACTGTTCTTTCAACTTAAACAATGAATTCTGAAAGGTAAAACGTTGCTGTGGATTAAAATCAAATCAGTAGTTGGAAAAATTTATTTGATGTATGCATAATAAATTCTAAAAAATGAATGAATATGAATATCTTGGCTTTTACATAGAAGTTTTAGATTTTAGTTTATGGCTTTATTTTTTAAATTTAAATATTCATAGTAAAACATAACTAATTCTTACAGATCTGTGGATGGCATATATAAATTAAGGCTCCCTGGTAGTGCAGCAGTTAAAGTGCTTGGCTGCTAACCAAAAGGTTGGTGGTTCGAACTCACCAGCCGGTCTGTAGGAGAAAGATGTGGCAGTCTGCTTCTGTAAAGATTTACAGCCTTGTAAATCCTACGGGGCAGTTCTACTCTATCCTGTAGGGTCACTATGAGTCGGAATCAACTTGACGGCAGTGGGTTTGGTTTAGTTTTGGTTATATATAAATTGGAGGTGATAAAATATTATTGAAAACACTAACTTTCAAAATTTCAAGTTTGCATTATAGTAACTCAGGCTAGACCAATAAGCTAGAGATTTTTAGAGGATATAGCTTCCAAAGTATATAAAAAGTCTTAAAATTTTTATTCACATAACTAAATACGTCTAACTTGTAAATTTACTCTTTCAAGAAGTATTTTAACAGAAGCCAGCATCTGTCTCTGCAAACTATTAATTCTGAATTTGTGTTACACTAGTTAATACCCTACCTGGGGTCAGTACACTTTTCCTGTAAAGGACCAGATAGTAAATATTTTCAGTTTGCAGGCCAGTGGATCTCCATTGTGACTACTCAACTCTGCCGTTGTAGTCTGAAAGCAGCCATAAACCGTAAGTAAATGAATGGGTATGGATGTGTTCCAGTAAAACATTATTTACAAAAACAGGCAGCTGGCCTGCCATACTTGGCAGAACTTTGTGGCCCAGTGGATGTCCTCTTCAATAGAACAGCCAAGAATGCTTTGAAATAATGATCAAATTTCTTATTTATGTATTATAATGGAATTCTTTTTTTAAACTATTTACAAAATCATTTTTATAGTTATTATTATGTGAAATATCTGTCTGTGGTACATCTGTTGAATAGGGCAACTTCATCTTGATTATGTATTGTGTATAGTTTTATAAGGTACTCCAGAATCCTTTGAAATAAGAGAAATCCAAATAAATAATCTTGATCATAATTCATCTTCAGATTATCATAATCTTGATTATAACATCTTAAAATTATTGTAAATCTCAATATTTAATTTAGTCATTCGTTATTACTAATAAAAAAAGATGCTAAGGTTTCTGTACCCCTCGTCCATAGAAATGTTTCATCTTTCAGAATGCTTGAGTATTAAACCCAGTGAAGTCTTGGTAGTGATTATGATTAGCTATTTTACCTTTCTTTCATCAATATTTAAATTTCATTTTGAGTAGAAAAGGAATGAATTATTTTTGTTACTAATCTCCAGAAACATTCATTGTACCTGCTATTGGACATAGTATACAAAGTAGTTTTCTGAGAATTCCTCTATATTATGTAGGCTTTGAGTATGATTTGATGGTGATGATGTTTCAAAAAACAGAATAGGAAAAGTTACCATCTTTATGTATCTTCATTGCTAAAGAGTGCATGAACCCATATTTTGATCTGAAGTTCAGACCTTTAGTGTATTATTATTTAATGTTTTAAATAAATAAGGTAAATATAAATGACATGGTTTTAAACAAAAGCTTTTACAGTTCTTATTATTGTACACTTTATTTTATCCATGATCATTTTTTAAGCAATTCCAGTTATTAGAAACATAACTAAGGATCAGATGGTTAAAAAATAATTATTTAATCTCATATAGTCTCATATAATGTAGTCATGGAGGAGAAATCTTCCAGTGTTCTTCCTCCTATCCTGTAACTCTGGTCTCATTTATGATAATGTTCTAACGTTGTTTTCACAGCCTCTCCCCATATTTAGTTATCAAATAGACACATAAGCTGTTGTAAATAGCAAGAAGGATAGCCTTTCTGGGCGGGAGAAACAGGAAAAAATTAATATACAGAGACTTAAAAAAAAAAAAAATCATCCAGCATTGTTTACTGTGAGGGTGGGTTGTCCTGTCTATCTTAATAGATTTTAAAAGGTATCACTGTGTGGTAGAAATTTAATAAACTAGTAGTTAGGAGGGACAGGTTGTTAAACATACTTTGAAAAAGAAATATTTAATATTTATGTAAGGTCCCTTGGCGCAAATGGTTTGGACTCAACTGTTAACCTAAAGGTTGGTGGTTTGAACCCACTCATCAGCACTGTGGAAAAAAGGCCAGGAAGATTTTTTATCCAATATTAACAAATTAAAAAAAAAAAAAAAAAATTGGCACTTAGAAGTTGTAATGTTCGTTTAGCAGAAAAGTTAACTTCTGAGGAATAAAAACTTGCCTAATCATAAATTCTTGCAGTTTTATGTTTTGCTTTGTCTTGCTAGTATTTTAAATGTCAAGGCCTCTTGTCCTTTTTAGCTGTAAAATCCAATTTTTGAAAAGGACCGAGAATCCTAAAGGTGGTATATTTCTGAAAGAGTTTATGGATTATTTGGTATAATTGGTATATACTGCAGGATTGCTATTTGGTTATCATTTACTGCATATAATTTTTATAAAGCTTGTTACCAAAAGTGTCAAAAAGAACGTTTTTAAACAATAATTTTATATGTAGCAATGTCTCTTGAAATATAGAACTCAAAAGTTTGTTATCATTCATTCATTTATTCCCAAAGCATTTATTGAACACCTGCTATGCACTGGGCTTTGTGTTAGTGCTGGGACTACAGGGTTGAATAAGGCATAGTTAACAAGTCACACGAATGCATACTGAAGGAGCAGAGCTACGAACACATAAATAAGAAAATGAGTATGATACTGTGTGTAAATAGTATGACAAAAGTATGAGTATGATTCTAGGGAAGAGTAGGAAGGGGTAGTTTAAATCTGACTTGAACGTTCAGTGAAAGTTACTCAGAATTGGTGAAACTTAGTGAATTTGAAAGACTGGTAGTAATTGACTCAGCCGTGGGAGAAGGGCGGGAAGAGGGGATTCCAGAAAGGAAAAGTGTACAGAGATAGCACAGAACAACATGCAACATTTTGAGAATCACAGTCATTTTGAAGATAGCTGGGACAAGGGCTGGAGAAGAGTCTGGAGAGGTAGGTAGGAACTAGT